ATTCTGAAACTTTTTATGTTCATTTCTATTTTTAAAAAGGGTTATTATGTGGCTTTAAATACATGTGTTCCAGAGCAATTAATCATCTAATAAATGTGTCTCTAAGAAGAATTTGCTAATAGCTTGATGTTGGCAAAAATAATGTGTTTCACATCTGCTGCCTCTGGAACCCAAAGATTTCAAAATAATATCTGTGCTGGAGAGGGCTGTGCTTAAAATGAGAATTGGTTTTAATATGAAGGAAAAATGAAGTAAAAAAGGAATAAACTACTCTAATATTTATAAATTAATGAAATTATAATCATGATAGTTAACAATTATTGAGTGAGTAACTTATTCTCAGCAATATTCTGAGAGTTGAGCATAAGCTCATTACATTAATCACTAAAACACCCTTACAGCCCTGGCCAATGTGGCCCAGTTAGTTGAGCATCATCCCATGCACCGAAAGGTTATAGGTTGTATCCCCAGTCTGGGTGCAAAACATCAATGTTTCTCTCTCTCTCTCTCTCTCTCTCTCTCTCTATATATATATATATATATATATATAAAACCTCTCTCTATATATAAAACCTCTCTCTCACTATCTACACTAATAAAAGACAAACATGCAAATTGACCATACCTTCGCTATGCCTTAAGCCACGCCCACCAGCCAATCAGAGCGACTATATGCAAATTAACCCAACCAAGATGGCGGCTGGCAGCCACGGAGCTGGAGCAAGCAGGCTTGGTTGCCCCAATGATGGAGGAAGCCAAGCTTCCTGCTTGCCGTGTCGTGCTCTGAGCTCCACTCACAGCAACAAAGTTTCAATTATAGTAGGTAAATAAACCCCAGATACCTGCTTTCAGCCGGCCGTGGCCACAGAGCTGGAGTGAGCAGGAGGCTTCCCTCCTGCCTGCCCTGGCTGGCTCTGAGCTCCTCTCAAGGCTACAAAGTTTCAATTATAGAAGGTAAATAAATCCCAGAATAAAAAAAAAAAAGAAAAAAAGAAGAGGCTGGGAGCTTCCATCGCCGGGGGGCTTAGCCAGCCTGAAAACAGCCCTCAGCCCCTCACCCAGACTGGCCAGGCACCCCAGTGGGGACCCCCCCCCACCCTAAAGGGGGTGTGACCAGCTGCAAACAGCCATCAGCCCCTCACGTAGGCTGGCCAAGCACCCAGCGGGACCCCCACCCTGATTTGGGACACCCTTCAGGGCAAATCAGCCAGCCCCCACCCATTCACCATGCCTGTATCCTATATAATAAAAGGGTAATATGCAAACTGACCCTAACAGCAGAACAACTGGGAATGACTGGTCACTATGACACACACTGACCACTAGGGGGCAGACACTCAATGCAGGAGCTGCCGTCTGGTGGTCAGTGTGCTCCCACAGGGGGAGCTCTGCTCAGCCAGAAGTCAGGCTGACGGCTGCCAGTACAGCAGTGGTGGTGGGAGCCTCTCCCGCCCTCTTTAGCAGCACTAAGGATGTCGGTCTGCAGCTTAGGCCTGCTCCCCGCTGGCAAGTGGACATCCCCCGAGGGCTGCCGGACTGCCAGAGGGATGTCTGACTGCCAGCTTGGGCCCAATCCCCCCAGGGAGCGGGCCTAAGCCAGCAGGTGGACATCCTCCGAGGGGTCCCCAGTCTGCAAGAGGGCATAGCTGGGCTGAGGGACCCCCCCGAGTGCACAAATTTTTGTGCCACGGCGCCTTTGAGTGGGCCTCTAGTGTGTGTGTGTATATATATATATATATATATATATATATATATATATCTTTATCTCTATCTCTATCTCTATCTCTATCTCTATCTCTATCTCTATCTCTATTTCTATCATCATCTCTATCTCTCCTTTCCCCTCTCTCTGAAAATTGATGAAAGCATGTCCTCAGATGATGATTAAAAAAATTCTCTCTCCTATAAAGTAGGTGCAGTTGTGGAAACTGAGGCAGTACTAGTACACACCAGAACTGTGGCCTTAATCTATGCAGTTTACCAATATCAAACTATCAATAACAATAAGTTGAGTAGCATTTATTGTCTACCAAGTACTTATTTTAAGTACTTTACAGATGTAAATCTACATTTTCACCTCAGCTTTATAAGGTAGATATTTTCCTGCCATCTCACAGATAAAGAAACCGAGGCACAGATAGGTCAAGTCACATGGCTCCAGAGTCCAATTTCCTATCCAAATATCTGAAAGATGATTTAAAAAATTTTTTTTTCATGTAGGCAGTGTCTCTTCAGACATTGTGGCTATTGTTTGAAGTACTGGCAATGAAAAAATTATTAATTTTGATGGGCTACTAAAATTTTTCCTCTCTGAACTTCACCTCACCTCCCTCAAGTATAAAGTATTGGGTGATATGTAAAGTTTTTTTCAGCTGTATAATTCTGTGAACATAATGCTTTCAGTATCACATCCCAAAATTCCTTCTATACTTTTGACAAGTATCTATTGTTGTGTTTTTACATGCCAGGATTCATGCTACATTTTATTGTTATAATGATGAATAGTTATTTATAACTAGAGGCCCAGTGCATGAATTTGTGTACCAGTCGGGTTCCTCGGGCTGGCCTGTGGGATCAGGCTGAAACCTGCTCTCCAACATCCCCTGAAGGGTCCCAGATTTTGAGAAGGCACAGGCCAGGCTGAGGGACCCCACCAGTGCACAATTGGGGCTGGGGAGGGATGCAGGAGGTTGGCCAGCCAGGGAGGGACTACGGGAAGGCTCCAGGGCATGTCCGCCCTGTCTCGCTCAGTCCAGATCAGCCAGACTCCAACAGCAAGCTAACCTACTAGTCAGAGTGTCTGCCCCCTCGTGGTCAGTGCACGTCATAGCGAGTGGTTGAGCAGCCTTAGCATATCATTAGCATATTATGCTTTGATTGGTTGAACGGCTGACTGGATGACTGGATACTTAGCATATTAGGCTTTTATTATATAGGGTAAGATTTTTTTCTATGGTGACGATTTTGACCTCTGTAAAATCTTTAAGCGTGTTGACCACAACCTCCTTCTTGAAACACTTGAACCTTTTGGATTTGATGACAAACACATTCTAGACTTTCCTCCTACCTCTTGGGCTGTGACTTCTCATTCCCATTTCAAGCTCTTTCTCCTCGGTTCCTATGATTCAGGGAACTATTCTTCCTTTGGCAAACTCATGATTTCTAAGGATTTTAAATTATCGTCTGCATGTTGATTTTTGTTCCTCTTCAATATCTATTTCAATATCTATTATATAGGGTAAGCATTTATTGAGCACTTGCAACATGCTAAGAGCTGTGCTGAGTGCATTACTGAGTGCAATTTTTCTTAATCCTCACACAGCTTCCCTGTTAATTATGATTACTCTCCCTATTTTACCCATGAGGAAACTGAGCTTAGAAACACCTAGAACTTTAATCAGTTCACACAACCAGTAAATGACAGAGCTTGGGATCAAATCCAGAAAGCCTTACTCTGAAACTCTGAAGCCCTGTCTCCTTACCACTTTATTCTCCTGTGTGAGGTGTGGGTACCACACCAGAAACAGAGAGTCAGATTCGACCTCAGTGAAAATAGATCATTTGGCCTAGGTGTAGAAGTGTGAAATGAGGAGAAATAAGTGACGTGTCTTCCTGAAGTCATACCTTTCTGACAAAACAAAGTTCTAATTTCCACAATTAGAGCATTTCCCTTGGGGCTTGCATGTGGAGTCCAAAGGAGCAGCTTAAAATGTGACTAGAGGGAACAGTTATTTCAACACCTATTCCCAGAGATGTATAGGCATGCCTCCTCTCTTGCCGCTAACAGAATCCTGAAGGAATGAGCATAGGATTATCCAAGAGTTGGGCAAGGCTTTGAGAGCTTTGTTTATGACTGAAACAGAACTGGGGAAGGTATCACCAGGCATGGTGTGTGTGTGTGTGTGTGTGTGTGTGTGTGTGTGTGTGTGTGTGACACTGAATATGTGTATGTGTGGTGGCCTCAAGCAGCTAAGGGATTACACAAAGTTACTTGTTAGACTCTAGGGAAAGCCTATTACAGCAGCCAATTGCATATAAGGAGATACTAAAGAACAGAAATATGACCCAACAAGTCTGCCTCAACTTGGCCATAAAGTGAGAGAACTGAGACAATCATAAAGTTGGTCCCTATTTAGGAAATGCCTAGAAACATTGATGTTTCTAGTGGAAATGACTTAGAATAAAATCAGGAGCTTAGAAGGCTTATGAAATCATCTAGCCTAAACTTTGGCCTGTACATAGTCCATGTGAATTCCTCAGATAGCAGCCATTTAGGACCCATTTTTAAGGTCAGCTCAGAATGCGATTCCACAGTCATTCCTGTGATTACCTGTACCCACCACCAAGAAAGCCAAGAAATCTTTCTACATCAACTGAATCTCCTGCTTGTCCTCCAGAAAGATGAAAAATGGTTATTATCACCCTGTACCTTAAAAAAAAACCTTAATATTCCTGGAGCTATGGCTAAATCACTGCATTATCTCTCTCTTTCCAAATGATACCTTTAGTTCCTTCAATCTCATCTTATTTGTATGGTTTCCTTTCCAAACTGCACATCTGCCAACACAGCAGAAGGACAAGTGGCATATATGAGACTTGTATTATCTGTGCCATATGGCAAATGTCTGTCATCTAATATTGCTTAGAAGTAGAGAAGTACAGTTTATGCCCACAGTAGGGTAAAGATTAACAAGGAATTCCTAGATAAGCTAATATTTCATGAAAATCTATAGAAAAAGTCCTTCCTTTGCTTATTTGGATCTTGAATTTTAAAGACAAAAAAAATAATGGTAATAATATTCTTATAAAGACGTATTGTGGGGATGAATCAGGTATCATTTGAGAATGTTTAATATGCCATTAATGTGATGAATGCCATTTATGAATCTTAAATCTGTGTTCATATACAGTGGTTATTCATGAAGAGTGATTACATTATTCATTTTAATGATCATTTACCATTGATGGAATTGTCTAACTTTTTCATGTGTTATTCACAGAAATGTGACCTGGAATAGTTTAGCTATTCCAGATACACACTGCTCACCAGAGCTAGAAGAAGGCTACCAGTGCCCACCAGGATTTAAATGCATGGACCTTGAAGATCTGGGACTTAGCAGGCAAGAGCTGGGCTACAGTGGCTTTAATGAGATAGGTCTGTCTTACTGGTAAAATACGTTTTTCAGTTTCTATTTTATAATGTTATGAAACGAAGATAATAGTTATATAATTGATATTTCATATTAAGACTGGCTATAGTATTTACTAGTAAAGACAACTGCAAGTTTTAATTATATGACTGAATTATATTCTACCTTATAATCTATAACATACAGTCTGTGTTTATGTATAGTCAGTGATGTCTGTAGAGATTTAAATAGCTCTCATTTTAGACTTGTTTGATTCTTAATTATAGCATTTAAGAGTATTGCTTTGTTGAGCAAGGTTTAGGGGTTATTGCCTCAAAAATAAACAAGATGTGGTTTTCTTTCACATTTTAACTATACTCAAGTGGTCAAGGTAAGTCTTAAATAATTGGAATAATAGGCATCCATGAGTGTGTGAGAGCTGAAAAGGAATCCCAGAACACAAGACAGCTAATCAAATACTTAATGAATATGCATCAACCATTTAAAGGATATATGAGGAATACTTGTATATGAATATAATGTGCTTAAATGTATAGATTTATTTGTGGCTTGTCCTGTTAAATCCTGAAATGTATCATTTACACACAGTAATTAAAGAACTTGTTAGCTGCCATTTAGTTGATAGCATTGCATTTATTACAATTCCATGCAAATTGCACGTATTGCTTTTTGAAGAAAAAGAAATCCATGGAACTCTAAACAATTATTTTATGCTTTGAGAATGTGTCTTAGTGAGCTCAGGCTGCCACAACAAAATACCATAGATGGGGTGGTGTAAACAACATAAATTTATTTCTTTCCAGTCTGGAAACTGGAAGTCTGAGATCAGGGTGCCAGCATGGTAGGGTTCTGGTGAGGCATCCTCCTCTCCCTAGCTTGCTGATGGCTTTTTGTTGTGTTCTTACATGGATGGGGTGGGAGCGGGGGAGACAGAGCTCTCCAGTCTCTTCTTATAAGGGTACTAATCCCATCATGAGAAGCAAACCCTTATGACCTCATCTAAACAAAATCACCTCCAAAAGGCCTCACCTCCTAATACAATCACATCAGGGGTTAGGGCTTCAACATGTAGTTTGGTCAGGAGGCACAAACATGTAGTCCATAACAGGATTATTATAAGAATTATTTGAAAATAATCCTATATAATAAAGAAGTATTATGCAAATTAACCCTCACGCCCTCAAAAGATGGCTGCCTATGACCAGACCAGGATGGGGGTTAGTGAGGAATGAGCAAATGACTGAACAGCAGGCTGTGTGGGGCAACCAGGCCAGTGGGGGGGGGGCATGAGGGGTGACCAGGCTGGCAGGGCTGACAGTTGGGGGCAACCAGGCCAGCAGGGGGGGCAGTTAGGGGTGACCAGGCTGGTGGGCAATGCAGTTGGGTGTGACCAGGCTGGTAGGGGGGGGAGTTGGGAGTAATTAGACTGTTGGGGGGGCAGAGAGGGGTGACTAGGCCTGCAGGGGGGGCAGTTAGGGGCGATCAGGCCGGCAGGCAGGTGAGTGATTAGGAGCCAGCAGTCCAGGATTGTGAGAGGGATGTCTGACTGCCAGTTTAGGCCTGGCAGTCAGACATCCCCCAAGGGGTCCCGGATTGGAGAGGGTGCAGGCTGGGCTGAGGGGACACCGCCCCCCCGCCCCGTGCACGAATTTTGTGCACCGGGCCTCTAGTAATGAAATAAAAAATAACATAAAATAATAAATAAAAACATTTTTTTTAAGTTTCAAGGCCCAGGTACATTTATGAGAATTCTAGACACTTTTACCCAGGGCCTAAAAGGAAAAAAAAAACAACCTTTCAATGTATAACAGGGTGGTGGCTGTGCTCTTTTGGAAGCCGAATGAATTTCCTGACTTTTGATGTGGTTTTACATCTCAGTGGGCCTGCTGGATGATGGGGGATTTTATTCATAGCCAGGGAAGAGAGATCAGCCCCTGTCAACTCTGGATAGCAACTACTACAAACCCAGCCAATTGACCTTCACACATCAAACAAAGTGGCTGGTAAATCCCATTACAACCCTGGCCTTCAGGCAGAGCAACTCCTGAATGGTGGATGGCTTAGCGAACTCTGGGATGAGTATTGGAATGTGAGAAAGAGTACATGATGGTCTTGCATTGATTAAGGAGTACTTTTCTGATATATGAATTAAACCACAAGACTAAATAAAGCCTTTGGACAGAATCTAATACTGAACTTGGGCTGGAAAACACAAATAGTTGTGTTTTTTTTTAAGTGAAGTTTGTAAATAACAACCCTAAATTTTCATTCTCATATTTTAATATGTCCCCATAGTGGATTTCCAGCATTGTAGTTAGACAACTCTTTTGGCCAATGATACAGCTTCCTATTTCACAAAAAGTTAGAAACCAGAAGCATTTCAATTTGCTTTATGCTCTTAAACTTATTGGCTTTAGAACTAATCTTACACCTCCTGTCTCAAAAGTGCAGAGGCCTCTGCTGGATGATATTAATGCCGGTCAGGGATGAGCAGGCAATCACAGGTGTGGCATGGGACCTGAGATGTATTGATTTGGCAGACTGTGTGGAACAAGCTTCAGGAGTCCTAACAGCTGGGACAGGACTCAAATGCATCACTTGTCAGAGCCTGCAGCCCCTTCTTTTAGGGGCTAATGCAGCGGTTCTCAACCTGTGGGTCGCGACCCCTTTGGGGGGTCGAACGACACTTTCACAGGGGTCGCTTAAGACCATCGGAAAACAGATATTGAATATATAATTACATATTGTTTTTGTGATTAATCACTATGCTTTAATTATGTTCAATTCGTAGCAATGAAAATACATCCTGCATATCAGATATTTACATGACGATTCACAGCAGTAGCAAAATTACAGTTATGAAGTAGCAACGAAAATAATTTTATGGTTGGGGGTCACCACAACATGAGGAACTGTATTAAAGGGTCGCAGCATTAGGAAGGTTGAGAACCACTGGGCTAACTGAATGTACCCATCTCTTGTATGGAGAGTGGCTAGCATTCAGGCTTTAGGCTGCCTTGGCACAAGAATCACCCAATCCTTTAAAGTCAAATCACACCCTGACCATTTTAAATGCAGCCCACACTCAAAATGCTGCATTACATTTCAGTTGGTTCATCTTTCTTCACTGTAACTTATACTGGCTTCAACTAATGCAGGCTACAATCTCTCTTTAAGAGAGAAAGTCTCCATATAAAGTACATTGGCTTGAGCAGCCCAATTCTAGGAGGGGATTGCCAGGCAATACTCTTGCTGTTCGTTCTGTTTATTTGCACATTTCTCTTTCAAAGATTTAAGCTCCTTGAAAACAGGAAGCACGCCGTTTCATCTTCATGTCTCCAGGGTCTAGGGCAATGCCTGGCTCATAGGAAGCCCTCTACAAATATTTACTAATGGAATGAACAAAGTATATGCGCTTTTTTAATTGGCTGGTAACCATATGAAGCCATACTAGAGAATTAAGTTGCTTTCTTGTTGTTCTTTTCTCTGGATTTGTCTGTGTGTTTTTTTGTCTATTCCTCATAACTTCCCTTTCTATGCAAGCTTAATTTGATTTGTTTGTTTCTTTTTCTCAAATGATGATTGAATTCAATATCATTGTATGACTAATGGCTAGATAATGAAATGTTGACTTTGTACTATCATCAAAAATTTTTAAAATAGTCTCTAAAGTTTAGATTGAAACTGAAATCTACTTCCTGTTATTCTGTGTCTATGTAGATACACAGACTGTAGTATTTTAGGAGATTTTCAAAGCTCTTATGGGAAAAAATATAGTGTTTTCCCCAAAATGAAGAAAAGAAATTATTTTATTAGATACATGTGGTCATCTCTTTCTGCATGCAGTTTATTTTAAACCATAATTAGGTGCCTAATTGTGCACATAAATTTGGTCCAGATACTTTATGTGTAAATAATCGTGATTAATTAAAAAGGAGCACATTTCTTTTTCTTATAAATCAAATTATCATGTAATACATTGACTTTCAACTCAATTATATAATTTCATTTATAAGTAGCTTTATGTCTCATTGAAATTTAATACTGATGTTGAAAACTCAATTTTTAAAATATATTAAAAGCCAGAGTCATTAAGTAGAAAAAAGTTATAAAGAGCCCCTATTATAAGATTGCAGAGTAAAGACACCTTTGCATCTCTGAAATCACCCAAACATCAAGGAGACTGAGAAACAGAAATCCAACTTATATATTTAAGGACTCTGAAAAAAAAACCATAACCATAAACCAATCAGAGGGCTAGATGACTAACAGAAAATTCCCTGGAAGGATTCTGGCTACTGAGGATCTCAGAATGCCAGCAGAATGCTGACATTCTAAAATAACAAATGATCCCAGCGGAGCGGAACAGCCTGCTATGGGAGTCAGGGGAAATCACTGTCTAGCTGGCTGTGGGAGCTTTCTGGATCTCCATGGGGCGGGGCGTCACAAAGTAGAGACCCTTGTTTCTGCAAGCAGTTTGTAGCGAAATAGGGGACACTCCATTGTGAGGGGCCTAATGCTGCTGATCTGTGTTGACTAGGACAAAGGAAAGACCCAGCTTAAAATTTGCACATCTGGCTATACCTTAGGACGAGCTATACCTTAGGATGAGCTATACCTTAGGACCACTATTCCAAGGCCCAATAAATTAAAATGTTAGAGGGATCCCAGACAGAGATGGCTTTAAAAAGTTTTCTAAGTGATTCTGATGTGCATGCAATGTTGTGAACCTTTGGATTGAAGAAACACTGATACACACACATACCCACTTACTAGAGAGCTTCATTTCTATCCCATAATACCACCTCACTCCTCCTCTACATGATACAGAGACAAATATTAGGGCCTATAAAAATTGATGTCAAGGTGAGTAATAATAAAAAATAATCAGGGTCATATCTATAAAAATGTACCTTTAGGTGCATTTAAAACTGAAAAAAAATGTTTTAAGATATATAACTTAAAAAAGAAAACTAGAAAAAGAAGGCCTGAGTATACAGATTAA